GAGAGTGTCTCTTAGATTCCCAGGGGTCTAAGTGATATTGTTGTTTCTTTTAGAGCTTGCAGGAGGGATTTCTTGTTCTCTCCCAAGTCACATTACCAGTTCCCTTTCAGCTTGAGACTCTGCCTCTTCTTCCATAGAGCCAGTTACTGGAGAGGCATAGGAAGAAAGGGGGAAAACTCAGACTTTGCAAAATCTTTAAAGCCAAGAGGTGCTGTAATTAACATTTGGGTTGCATTGTGTTGGTCAGTAGACAAGCATGGACATATGCTGACTTCAGAGAGCCTGCAGCTGTGCAAGGGATTTGCCACATACTTGAGAATCCAGACTGAGTTGGCAGAATAGATGAAGGCATTTGTGATGGGATCTCATTAATTCTGTTCACCTCCAGTGGCACACGCCCTGCATTGCTGGCTCAAGTGGCATCCTATTTTTGTCACCGTGCCAAGTGGGATGTGCAGTTACCTCTTAGCTGTAGGCCTGTCCCTGCAAATGCGCCCAAGCACAGTCATCTTGGTTAGTGAGAACCTATTAAGTACTGTCCCAATAAGCAATATAAACTAGAAGAAGAAAGTGCTTTTTGCCACTTTTAGGAGACATCAGCCTAAATGACAAAACTCTTACTCAATGCAAGAGCTGTGGAGTTGGTCCAAGCCCTTGTACTTCACATTTCTCCCTAAAAGGCAGCTTTAAACTCCTTGTTGCTCTGAATTGATATGCCTGACTTACACAGCAGACAAACCAACACACTTTCAAGGAGCTGAAGGACTTAATATCGCTGTGTTCAGAGCACCGCTGTGAGTTCTGTTGTACGCAGGCTGAATAACGAACAATGAAAGCAGCCTTTTACATACTGCCTCTTTGCTTTCCAGAAGGCATGATGTTCACATTCCTATGCCTTAATGCTTTAAGCCTTGCAGGATTTCTTCTACACCATGTCTTTTTTTGCCTTGGTTCTGTGTATTGACAGTCCACCAAAGAAAAGGAATAAATTGTTTTCCTTTCCTGTAATAAAAACTGCCTCATCTTCAGCAAGAAACTTACGACAGATCTTGTCGTAGTAACCAAAGAAACAGGCTTGCAGGAGTGTTTATATTTGCTGATTCAGAATTTAAAAACAAAGGAAAAAATTCCTTTTTGGAAGTGCTTTTCATTCTTTTACGTTGTGACTGGTGTTTCTGTCAAATAGGTGTCCTCCCTTGTTACTGTGTGTGTAGGCCTTAAAGGTTGAATTAAGGAACTTTATATTTAACCATGGCTGTTTTTCACCAGATATGCAGCTTCTATTGATGACATATTAGAAGAAGAGGAACATTATGCAGATCAGCTGAAAGAATATCTCTTCTATGCAGAAGCACTACGGTATGTGCAAAAGTGTGTAGCTCAAAGTGTATAGTCCTTTCCTCTAACGTTGTGTTGATGTTGAATTTAGTTTAGTATCATTTTCTGTTCTCCATATCCTTTTCTGTTCCCCGAGAAAGTAGAAATTTCCATGTTGTGGAATCTCCATGTTCTTACCTCTTATTTTGCTTACTCATATTTGATTGCCATGTGGGTGGCAATAAAAATCGGAACTGAGCTGATCAATAGTGAAACAACAGGAATGTTAAAATTGGTATACTGTGGAAGGTAATGCTGTTTATTCCTCTGGTTACCGTGTTTCCTTAGCTTCTGGTATAATAGTGCCCCAATGTGCTGAAGGCTTCAGCTTTCAGATGAGATAGGCCAAACAGAGCTGCTACAGCCATTACAAATTCTGGCAAGTTTCAAAGTGCCCTTATATAACTTTCATCTGCTGTGCAGTGTTGTGCAGCTAAATACCAAATTTATTTTTCTTAATTTTTTTACCTCAGCCTTTATAGGGCAGTCCTCCCTTACATATGTGGATAAAAAAGCAAATTGCTTTATGCTGTAAGATTGCACCTGAAGCTATCGTGCTCTCCACGGGCTGGCTCTGGACCTCTTGGAAAGGTCTGGTAGTGCTGTAGAGAATTGTATTGGCGAGCGTGATGGCTGCTGTGTGGGAACCCAAAGCACAAGTAGCTTCTCCTGGGAGACGAGCGTGCATCCGGCCTTGGAGTACGGATGTAGCATCGTCAGCCCACACAGGACTGGGACTTGCTGCAGGTGGTCAGAGGAAACTCTCCTCTTTTCCAGATGAAAGGTGCTATATGATTCTAGGAGCACAGTTTCTTGATTCATTGTTGAAAAAATGAAATGTGGAGAATCTTATGATTGACTGATACATTGCTGTTCTGACAGGTACCATCTCCAGGTACCTTTTGGCATAGTTGTGTTTTTTCTGTAATATATTTTAAATAAAACTGTCTTACAGTGGTGTCCTTAAGTAGGTGGTAGGGCTCGTATTGCTGACAGTGTCTCAGAATGAGTCTAAAAAGAGGAGCAGAAGAGCAGAATGCTGCTGTACTGAGAACTTTCTTTATACTTTGATCCAAGCTTGCTTAACTCCAGCATTTGCAGAGTTATGCGTTCTGTGATAAGGCTGTTGAATCCAAGCTAGATAAATAACTGAATGTGCTGCCTGCCAAAAAAAACCATGATGCCATTTGTAAAGTTTAAATGGAGGGAAACATAGCAAAGCAAAGTATTACGTGACAGATCTTTCATTGCTTACTTTTCAGGGCAGTTTGCAGGAAACACGAACTAATGCAATATGACTTGGAAATGGCTGCACAGGACCTAACATCTAAGAAACAGCAGTGTGAGGAGCTGGCAACAGGAGTGAGTCTTTCCACTTTCTTCTCCAAGATGCCTCTCTTTTTTTTTTTTTTCTTATTTTTTATTTGAGCCAAGTTACTTAGAATGACATTTAAATGGCACTAACATGCTGGCTGCCGCTTATGAAAAGCGCTATCGTATGAGCTTGTAGGCATCTGAGGTTTAAAGTAACTTGGTTCTTGGTGACATAAGCTGTTTGTGCCAAACTTCTTTTACTGAATACTGAGCAAGTAAAGGGTTGCAGGAAATACAACCTGAGCAGAATAACACAAACAACTCTATCTTAAAGATCAAAATTCTGAAAGGCTTCCTCTGCCTTTTGAAAGGTGGATATTACCGATAAAAGAATAAGCCCAAATGCTGGTAAAAATCACATAAAGACTTGTGGCTGTGCTCAAGAATCCCCAACCTAGAGTGTCTTTGTTTTTTGTAGACTGTGAGAACATTCTCCCTGAAAGGGATGACCAGCAAACTCTTCGGGCAGGAAACCCCTGAGCAGAGGGAAGCCAAGATAAAGGTTCTAGAAGAGCAGATACAGGAAGGAGAAGAACAACTTAAGTCTAAAAATCTGGAGGGCAGGTAAATGGGCTTGACTTTTTCAAAGAAAACACAGGGCTTGTCTTAGCAAAAGTCCTTGACTGGATGCTCTTGAAGGTGTTTGCATTTTATAAGTGTTTTTAATATATTCTTGGTGTTTATGAGCTGTCTATAAAAGCTCCTGTCAGCTGCAAGTTGCGAAATAAAGTACAGTACATGCAGTTAGCTTCTGGTCTGAGTGTATGGCTTATGTAGAACCTGATGACTTTCCCAGTTACTGAGCCCACTCTAATGGCTGACTTGCATGCTTTTATGTTCAGCTAGTAATATGTTTAGCAGGTGGGCTTGTAGGTCTGCAGCTGAATAGCCTAAGACTCAAAAGGTGATTTGCTTCAAATATAGTATTTAGTTTGGTTTATGCATATGGGGTCCTGAGCTCATATTCTTCCTCTTCTCATGTGGGGGTCAACTGACTCCCGTTTGAAAGAGATTAGAAGTTCTGGTGAGTTGTGTTTGAGTAACTGCTTCTCAGTGCTCTAATGAAATTTTCTTCAGGAATGCAAACATGGAAACTAGGAACTAACATTCCTAAAGTAATGTGATTGTGTCAGAACACGTTCATTGTATAACACAAGGGATAAATGTGGTGTCTCCTAATATGTTAGGATTAGAGCTGGAAAGATAAGACTAGTTATTGAATAGTTCAAAACAACAAGATGCTCTGTAAATGCAATTTCTTAATCATTTTGACAGAAGTACTGGAGATCTGCTTTTGTAGCTCTGGAAGCAATTTTCAAGTGAATGCTTGCCCCGTATCTATAGTCCAGCACAAATGAAAGCTATGAATTACAGAAATCTACCTCCCTTTTAGTTAAGAAGACCTGAAGCCGCATCGCCAAACCAACAAAATTAATTCCTGAAGTGAATTGTCCAAGTCAAATTTGCATTGTAAATATTTCTTGTACTTGAGTGTCTCAAATCCTGATGACAAGTGAGTTTTCACGTTGGAAAGACCAAGATTCTGACTTGACAATTGACAAAGAAATGTGCAATGTTGTGTGCTGAATGTTAGCATAGAGATACTTAGCTAACCCAACAGAATCTGAGGAGAACAGTATATTCTGAAGTATGCTGGTTCTATGGCAGTGATGCTTACTGGGGGAAGAAAAAAAACCCACAGAAACAAAACAAACAACCCAAGACATCCTGTGAAACTGATTCTCTAGATTAAAAACCTTAAGAAGAAGATGGAGAATTAGGTAGTAGTGCCAGTTGTAAAATGAGGACACTGTGGGATGCGTAAGAACTACAGAACTTGGTTTACTGACTGAAAGATGGAGCGCTTTGTCATATGTAGCTTCTCTGCTGAGGGCTCAGCGGAAGGAAGATCAGCTGGGGATGAACACGTAAAGCACTTACTAACAGAAATATTGCTTTTAATTCCAGAGACTTTGTGAAAAGTGCCTGGGCTGACATCGAACGGTTTAAAGAACAAAAGAATCACGATTTGAAGGAGGCGCTTATAAGCTATGCTGTTATGCAGATTAGCATGTGCAAAAAGGTATGTTTGTGAAAGGCCAGGCTAGTGTATATATTGTACCAGCAGGGGATCGGATGCAAACTTTCAGTAACTAGGAACGTTGCAGTCACAGAAGGTTGGAAGTCACTAGCGTAACACCTCCCACATATTCTGTCTGACTCTAACTCAGTCACATGTTAATGTTGATATATATTAGGCAGTGTGGTCTGGTTCCAGTGTGGTCTCTGCCTTATTCTTGTGTGAAGTTCCGTGGGACTCTTTTGTAGAGTCTTCTGTGGAAGAAAGTCTGTTGATGAGGTTTGCAAACAAAGTGTATTTCCACCTATTGATTTTTAACTTTTTTTAAAGGGAATTCAAGTTTGGACAAATGCAAAGGAATGCTTCAGCAAGATGTGATTATCTGGAAATGAATTCCTCCTCCAAGTGCCAGAGAACGGAAGCACAAATGTATAACACCAATCTTAAGTTGCTACATGACTTACATATAAATCATGAAATAAATGAGTTGAGTGAATAGTTTTTCTTTCTGCTGATTGTAATTGTTAATAAAGGACAAAAAGGACATGTTATTAAATGTTTAGCGCTGACTGCCACTTTCGTGGCGTGTTTTATATGTGGTAGCAAATAATTCAGGGGTAAAAGAGTTACTGAAAACTACAGCTCTGTATTGGGGCAAAGGTATAGGGAAAGTTATCCCAGAAAGTATGAACTGAACTGTTCTGAGACTTGTGAAACACCATGCTCTGTAATGTGTAGATCACTTCCAGATGCCCTTCTTTTCAGCCATTGCTGTTTAGACTTCGTAATGCTCAAGGGTGCTTTGGTTTTATAATGGGACACACAGTTGTGTTCTTGAGGTCTACACCATAAGAGGACAAAAAATGAAATATTGTAACGCCTGGGGTTTGTATTTAAATGCCTTTGCATGTCCATAGAGAAATGTGCTTTTCCAGAGTTCAGGTTAAGCAGTCTCAAGCTCCTGAGATGTTTGAAACTCTCTACAGTAGAGGTGTTGTACAATGGTTTGATACAATATTCTGCATTTACTGGTTCCCACTTAAGTTTTGATATGGGCATTGATTTCTTATCAAACTTCTTCCTGCAAGTAAAGGAGACTGGTGATCCAGCTGAGCAGCAAAACCAAAGTCAAAGCTGGTAGGAAGCGGATGCAACTTCTGTTTGGTTGTTTGGAACCTGTTTACCCTAGGTGTGAATCTGGCCTGTGGTACCTCTTCTTGTAACTGAAGCGGTTTGGTTCTTAAAAGAATAGTTCTTAACGAAGATGCTGAAATAAAAAACCTGGTGCAACTTCTGTAGTACTTAAGAGCAGTTGTGCAGAATCCACAACGAACCAAGGTGTCTGTTTGGCTCTTGCAATGATGTTTCAGTGTGTGTATGTGTGTGTGTGTATATATATGTGTGTATATATATATATATACACCGGTATAACATGATTTGCAGTTACAGATACTTGCATTAAATGTTTCCAGTTATGAAAAACACTTACCACTGTCTAATATTGGGCTTTTTCTACATACTTACTTAAAGTTCCTGAAGTCTTGTGGAATTTGTCAGACTTGATTGCTAGTCCTAAAGGAGGCTTTGTAATATTCTGTTGAAAAGTGTATTTTAATTGCTCTGGATTATAACACCGCTCGGATTTTGATTTTTAAGAGATACTCCAGGAAGCCCTTAAAAGTTCTTTTGATAAATTATCCATGACGTAGTTACTGATATGTCCCATGTTCCTTTTGTCTCTGCAGCATTTCTTTTCTATAAAACCATTGTAAAGAATTCGTAGGCCCGGTGTACACTACAGCTTAAAACTCTGAAGTAAAACGCTGGTCACTCTGATAACCTATGTTGGCTTTTTTCAAAGCGTATGACAGTGACGCTCCTGGCCGAGAGATGATGTTGGGCAGAAACATACATCTCCATATAACATTTACAAGGAGAAGTGTCGTTCGTTCAGAGGTTGCGGTATCCAGTTCCAATACAGGCTGAAGGACTCTTACATTCCAAACCAAGAAGTTGCACACTTGATGTATTCAGTAAACCTTCTAAAGGAGTGGTGCCTTAATACAATACCGTGAGGCGCGCAGAGTAGGTATTTTTCATGCACTTTGATTTTTGGTAGATCTTTCTGGTGCCTCTTTCCACATTTCACTTGCTGTACAGCTTATTAAATGTATTAGTATGCCTTTTTTTCCTTGCTAGTTGTACTAAATCTAAGAAGGGAACAAAACTGTTCTTGTAAGTTTTGTGCCAAATAAGCTAAATAAAATTGCTCTTTGATATTTTTGTTACGTTGTTTTTTGTAAAAATGCTGTCTTCCCAATTCTGACAACTGCTCTTCAATTTCTTGAAATCTGTTCTGGTCCATCTTAGCTCTCAAATGGCCTCTACACTTGGGTTTAAAATTTAAGTAAATTGCCCACAACTAGTTTATTTGCCTTTTAGGTGAAGAACATGGTGTTAAGGCCAAACTTAGATGCTTGTTACAAGCCAGCTTTGATCCCTGCTTTGTTTTTGCCCACACGGAACTAGCTGTCTGAATTTCATGCGTGTCTTCATCTAGGTAAGAGAAGATGCATTTGGAAAGGGTTTGCATTGTCTGACAGAAATTGGGGGAAAGGCTGGTTAAAGATAATTTGCAATAACTTTATTTGTTTTACTGCTGCCGTTTGCAGGAAAGCTTTGCATGTGGTCTGTGTACCTGTGGATCTTAGCAAACAGTGAAGGTTTCTCCCCCTCTTAGCTTTTTAACTTTTTAAGGGGAAATCATCTCGTTAATGGCTGTTTCGGTATGGTTAATAGAGTCCACATGACACTCGTGAAGTGTGCATTTTTCCAGTTACGGTGCAGATTTAACTGCTGTAACTCAATCCACTTTGCTTCGACAAGCTTCCTTCAGTTACCCAGTAAACATCAAAAATTGGTGGAAGGCCTTGAGAACAACAGCAGGGAGATAGACCATTTTAACTTCATCTCAACAAAATGCTTGCGTATGAAAGAGTTTACCTACACGGATCATCTGATTTGCTGATGGAGCTGTCACTGCTGTCCCAGGCGGCTTTGCTGGGTGGATTATCGCTGTTCGTGCTATCCCTGACCTTCCCCGTTACTAGCAGGACCTTGACTTGTCACTACGTTTTAGTTGCTACTGTTGTCTGCTCCTAAAATGCAGCTAGGGTAAGGGAGCCAGCTGAAATGGAAAGAGAAAGTATTTTTATGAACTTTTTTTTTTAAATCTTGTATTATTTCAGTATCTGGCATGTCAGCCAAAGCGGAGTTAACTGGGCAGCTGTGTGCAGGGACTGCCTTGGCAAGCGCAGAGCAGATCCTGGAGCTCAGGTCCAGCCCGAGGCGCTTGCTTCGTGCAGGTGAGCCCAGGGAAAGCGGGGGCCGCAGCCAGGCGCGGGGCAGAGCCAGCGGAGCAAGGCCCAGCTCCCCGAGCCGCGGGCTGGGCTGCGAGCACTGCGTCCTAGCAGAGACCTTATTTTCCTCTCTGACTCTCCCTACCACCGAAATTCTTTCATACATTTTGGTTGAAGAAACGAGAAACGCTTTCTCGTGTCCACTAAAGGATTGCAGGGAAGGAAGTTGTCTTAATTCCCTGCACCCCCACACTCGCTGTGCGATGGCAAGGCAGGGCTCTAATTCATGTTTCCTTATGTCCGCCTGTCTTGTATTTGCTCCTGGAGCTCAGTGGGGAGGTGCGATCTGCATGATGAAAACCCTCGTACAGGGCTGCCATAGAAATAATGCAAACGAAGCAAGCAGAGTGAGAGGTGGTAAAATGCGAGCGCAGGCTTCGGTGCCAAATCCAAGCCCAGCACGCTTGCGTATGCCCAGCGAAGGCAGCCAGTCTTGCAAGCGGTCACCTTGCTGCTGTGGGGAGCTGGCAGAGCCGGGGTTTCTCAGGGCTGGGGTGTCCCGCGAAGGACGCGTGCTTTGATCCGGCTCCTGTAGAGACCTTGGCACTGCAGGAGAGTAACTCGTGTGAGCCGCTTCCCTCTAGCGGGTGGCCACTGGGGAGGGCAGGATGCTCACCGTGGTACCCAGGGAATGTCTCTTGTTAAATGGCAGAGGCTTCGGGGCCGCCCAGCTGGAACAGGGAGGTTTGATGTATGTCCCCTCCGTGGTGAACATCTTCTGCCTCGGGTGGTCTGGAGAGCCTCGAGTTCCTGCGTAAGCAAAGGGTTGCGACTCTCCAGCTGCCGTTTTCTGGTGCTTCTCGGTATGATACAGTGTATGAAAAGGATTTTTCGATTGTGACTTTCGTAGGGTCAAATGCAGCAGAGAAACCTTTTTTCACTGCCTTTTAGTTGCTTTTTGAATGGCTTATGTAGGCTGGCCTTCCCAATGCTGTATTTTCTTTCAAAAAAAAATCTTTTTGCTTTGACTGGTTATAGAAGGTATCTAAACCACAAAACAAAGCCAATTGGAAAGGATCTTGGCTGGATTTGGAGGAAACTAACTCCAGACAGTGGAAGTGCAGAGTATTGGGAGGTAAGGGGAGATGGCAGCGTGCTGAGAGAGGCAAGTGGGGGTTAAGCTGTAGGCCCGCAAGGGGAGATGGGGTTTCGAGGAGATATGCACAAGAGGGTGAGGAGGAGAGAAGAGAAGGTGAACAGGCAGGAGGGAGAGCAGGGATGGGATGGGTGGAGGAACTGGGGAGGAGAACAGATGGAAAGCTGCTGCGCCTGCGGGCTGGGCTGTGCAGGAGAAGGGGGAAGCAGCACCACGTTGGCCTTGTTTTGGAGGGGTAAAGAAAGCGAGGGAGGTGGAAACAGGAGACAAGGAGATTTCAAGAGGTGTCAAAGACAGAAGTATATAATACTGCTGACAGTATAATGATAGTATCTAGGTCTGAATGAGACTCGTGGTGGTGACCGAGGTCTTAAAGCTGAATTCAACATCGATAATGGTGTAATGTTTCTCTTGAGCTCAGAAGGAGAGATTTAATTTTGTCTAATGTTTTGTATCTATTTTTAATATGATCACTTTGAATTTTCTGAATAAATAAAACAGGAGAAGAAGCTTCTGCCTTCAAAATCCCAGCATAAACTTTGTGGACACCGGTATCCTACAAACACCAGCACCGTCAGCCATGTGATCCAGGCCTGCTGGCTGATGCAGCTCTAAAACAGGCTGCCCCATGTACGACAAACACCCCAGGGACTACAATTAATAAACAGCTGCTTCATCTCCAGTAAACATTTTCTGTTATCTGTATGTATTGTGGCATATGATAACACCTATTACATTCCCTTCAGAAAGTAGCTGTAAGTGGTCACAGAAGATGAAAAGCGACTTTGTAGTGAGACTCCCCGGGATGCTAAGGTGGAAAATGGTGTAGTCGAAGGGAAAATGCAACCCCGACCGCCCTCTTGTGGGTCTCCAGCTTGGGCTCGCATGGGTCAGAATAAAACTCTGCGGCAGGAGGGAGGCAAATGCCACCCGCTGCCCTCCTGCCGCTCGCAGGTGCGAGAGCCATGGCAGCAGCCGTAGCATAATAAGTGCCAAAATACGAAGGGATGGTTATACTGGAACAGATATCTATGCAGGATTTAATCATGAATTCATGCGTTGTTGTAGGTTGCTATCAATAATACTGTGTATTACGCTGTGATTTGCAGCTTTGTGTGCAGGATCCTCAGGCGCCTTTCACACTGGGCAAATGCTGCTGGGAGTTAGACTTAAAACACAGGTTTCTGAACTAGCAGTATTTTTATTTTGTTAAATAACTACTTGGAAGTGGTGTCGGCTGCCTGGTCAGAAGGAACGACCTGAGATCGTTTGTGTAAGCTGCACTGCCATATAAGAGATGGTAAAGTCGCCCTTGCCCAGTGCTGCTTTGAATTAGCTTTTTTTGAAGCGTGTGCTCTCTGATCCCAGCTTTGAACCTCACCAGTGAGAGAGAGGCCAAATCTCATGATGGTTCTTCCAGGGGCTAAAAGCATAGACTTTATTTCCAGTCTCGTTTGTCTGCTTTATCTTCCAAGCGAA